TTTCTATACACTTGAATTTTTGAAGTGCGTTAAATACACACGTTTTTCTTTTTAAATTTCACTGTCGAAGCCAAAGGGAAACAGGCAAATGTGTTAAATTAAAACATTTTTTTTCAAATCCTTTTTTTTTTTGACTCTAAAATTAAAAAAAAAAAAAAAAAAACTTTACATACTAATACATTTTGATGTGCTTTCATGCAAATTTTGACAGTCCTGACAGGGACAAGTGAATTTCAAACAATATTATATTCATTCCTAAATATTGATACAATATATGCATATATATTTATTTTAATGATTGATTCATATTCATTGATTTTTCCTTATTAGTACGTAAGTGATACAAACGAGCATTTCTAATTACCCCATTTTCATGATACATATACCTATTATTAGATGATATTTTGCTTTCATTAAAAATTTCTAGCTATAAGTGACCATTTAAATATATTTTTCTGATTCCAAGAAAAAAGATTCTTTAAAAGCCATCGACATCAAAAGTTACCAAGCCAAACAAAACCCTAAAAATTAAACTTAACATTAAACTTAAACATATATTTGAAAAATTTTTCAAAAAGTGAATTTTCAATAAAGAAATTAGATCCATGTATCCACCTAGGTATAAGTGACGTTCTTCTCAACAATATAACATTACTAGCTTTAAGTGACTTAGCACTGTTTGCGGATGCTTATCGATTACATCGATTTTCTTTCTTAAATACTTTTTTTACCAAAATATAACTTCCTGGAGTTTATTAAAAGATTACAAACCCATATACCGATGTACATGTATAATAAAACCGTTTATATTCGATAAATTCTTATTAAAAACATACATTAAAACGTTTCAAAAACAAATTAAACTCTTTTGCCTTGCATGTGAACTGCACGAAATCCCCGATATCCCAACTGCATGAAAACCCCTTGTTGCATGCGATTTTTCAGCCGATGACCTACTGAAGAAAAACATAAGTATTTTTCATATTTCAATTTCTTTTTATTTCTATACAGGGTGAACGATAGCTTGTTTTCGTACATGTTGGGTTTCCACTTCTTTGAGATTAGCCGGTTATGAGCGAATTCGATAAACAATTTAAAGTATATAAAGCAGATTTTGATAAGATTACGAAACGCATTTTGCAAAATAGGCCGTTGTCTTCGAATGCGAAAAAATTAAACGAATACAAATATTCGCTTATCACAGCTTATAATAATATTTTATTACTAGTTATTGGTAATAGTTCGGCCCATACCTGTAATCTCAAAGAAGTCCAAGTTAAATTAGCTCGTTGCAAGGAACAGTTAGCAAAGTGCTTTAATAAACTGAATTGTCGCGTTAGGATTCCACCTGATAGCTTATCGCTAATTTGCCAATCAGACTTAGCTGACTCTGAGTCAGAAGAAGAATTTAGTGACGCCAAGTCAGAAGCTTCGGTACAATTCCGTCTTAAAAGAAGTACTTCACTTCCATCCTTTAAAGATCTGCTAACAATATCCGACGAGCCGTCAACAGCTACCAGTTCGCCAAATATTTCTAAATTTTTTCAAGAACTTTTAGACATGGCTACCCCTGAACAGAAAAAATCGTTTATTAGTCTTTGTGCCTCAATCATTAGGGAAAATTACAATGGAGATCCGCTAGCACTTGAATCGTTTATAGACAAAATTAATTTAATTTAAGATTTTGCAGATGAAAACTTAAATATGACTTTTATATCATTTTTGAAATCGAAACTCGAAGGCAAGGCACGTGAAGCAATTCCAACAGAAGTTAGTTCAGTTGGTCAAATAAAAGATGCGTTGAGAAATAGAATAAAGCCAGACAACTCGAAAGTTGTAGCTGGGAAAATTGCATCTTTGCATGTCATAAACAACAATTATACGGAATTTGCTAAGCGTGTCGAGGAGCTTTCGGATGCTTTAGAGCGCTCTTTGATCATTGAAGGTATGACACAGTCTAAGGCTCATGAAATGGCAGTCGAGCAAACAGTAAAGGTTTGTAGACTCAATACTCGGTCGGGTTTGGTCAAATCAATTTTATCGTCAACTACCTTCAGTGATTCAAAGGACGTAGTGGCAAAAATGATAGTCGAACAAAATAATCAAGTGAAAGAGCGGCAAGTGTTAGCGTTTCGATCCCGAGTAAATAGGCCAAATAGCTTTAGAGGTAGTTTCAGAGGGCACAATTTTAATAGGTACAACAATAACAATTTCAGACAAAACAACTCAAATTTCAATAGGTACAATAATAACGCTGATAACAGTAGGTACAGCAATAACGGTTCAAGGCATAACGGTAACAATTTCAACAATAATAGGAATCGGTCATCAAACAACAATCGAAACAATAACAGCAACAATAATAGTAATAGAGGTCCAAATTCACGCAGTAATGCTAATGTGCGCGCTTTAAACGCCCACGCCCCTCAGGAGCGAACACTGAGGGCGGAAGAAATGGACAACTAAATACTTCTTTTTCAACAAAAGGCATATACTGTCTAAATCTAAATTACTCTGATTTTATTGAATTGCGAATTAATGGTTCAAACAAATTTTGTACGTTTTTAGTCGACACGCAAGCCGACATTTCTTTAATCAAATTTACTAGCATTGATAAACATTTTTCTATAAATACGAACGATATAATTCACATTACCGGTGTCACTTCTGATACAGTTTCTACGTTAGGTACAATTACCATAAACTTGACTTTTACTGATTTTTACATTAAACATACGTTACATGTAGTAAGCGATGATTTTAACATACCATCTAATGGTATACCGGGTAAAGATTTTCTAAAAAGTAACAAATGCGTTATTAGCTATGCAAGCAATTGTATTTCCTTCTGGGTAGGCAATGAAAAAGTCGCGATACCAATCCTACACGGAACCGAAAGCGACACTCGTATCATACCACCCAGATGCGAAGTTTATCGAATTTTCAATTTTGGCAATTCGCCGGATCCACTTTTTGTAGAATCGCAGGAAGTTGAACACGGTGTATTCACAGCAAGATGCATAGTTAATGGCGGTAACCCAATTATTAAAATTATAAATACCACAGATGAAGTAAAACATGTAAAGAATGTAAATATTCGGACTGAAAAACTTTCCGACTATCACGTTTACTCAATTAATAAGACCAAGACAGAAGAACCCCGAACGAACGAATTAATAAATATTTTAAAAAACCAAATCCCTACAGAAGCTAACAGCAATTTACTTGACCTTTGCATAAAATATGCCGACATTTTCGCTCTTGACAACGACAAAATGACATTAAACAATTTTTATGAACAGAAACTTAGGTTGACTGACACTGACCCGGTATATGTAAAAAATTATCGTCTGCCATATTCCCAACGTGAAGAGATAACTCGCCAAGTTAATAAATTACTAGATAACGATTTAATAGAAGGAAGTTATTCCAATTACAATAGTCCTCTAATTTTGGTTCCTAAAAAGTCTACTAATGGTCAAAAAGCATATCGTATGTGCGTTGATTTCCGCGCAGTCAACAAAAAACTTATTGCGGATAAATTTCCTCTCGCACGAGTCGACGATATTTTGGACAATCTTGGCAGAGCAAAAGATTTTTCTACTTTAGATCTTTTTTCTGGATTTCACCAAATCCCCTTACATGAAGATTCACGTGATATAACTTCTTTTAGTACAGACCGCTGAGCATATCGTTGGAAAGTATTGCCATTCGGTTTAAGTATAGCACCCAACTCATTCTCACGAATGATGAGTATAGCTTTTTCTGGTATTCCACCGAACGTAGCATTTTTATATGTAGATGACATTATTTTCATAGGCTGTAGCGAAGCACATCACATTAAAAATTTAGCTAAAGTTTTCGAAACTTGTCGCAAATTCAATTTAAAACTAAACCCAAAAAAATGCAATTTTCTCAGGCCCGAAGTAACGTTTTTAGGGCACAAATGCTCAGCAAAAGGTCTGCTTCCAGACGATTCCAAAATAGTTGCAATTAAAAAGTATACTAAACCTACTGACAAAGATGCAGTACGTCGTTTTGTCGCATTTGCAAACTATTACCGAAGGTTTATCCCCAATTTTGCAACTCTGGCAGCACCTTTGAACCAATTAAGTAGGAAAAGAGTAGATTTTGTTTGGGATGAGAAATGTGATGAAGCTTTTCAAGCGTTACGATCAGCCTTAATGTCACCGAAATTGCTACAATATCCAGACTTTACAAAGCAATTTATTATTACAGTTGACGCTTCAAAAATAGGGTGTGGCGCTATACTTAGCCAAGAACAGCAAGGTTGCGATTTACCAATATGTTTTGCCTCAAAATCATTTAACAATGCAGAACAGAAAAAACCAATTATCGAATTAGAACTTTTAGCTATATACTTTGCCATTAAACAATTTCGACCATACGTTTATGGAACACATTTCTTAGTAAAATCAGACCACAGACCATTAGTATACCTGTTCAATATGAAAGACCCCTCTTCAAAACTTTCAAGAATAAGGTTAGAACTAGCGGAATACAATTTTACTATTGAATACATTAAAGGAAAATTAAACGTAGGCGCAGACGCACTCTCACGTATAACGATAGACGAAATAAGGGAATCAACGAAAAATATTTTGGCAGTACAGACGACTAGACTAGACGAGAAAACGACAAAATAATACAAAACAAAGACAATAACAAACACGAAAACCCACAGAAATTAAACGTTTATGATAAGTTTTCTTACAATTTTACAAAAAAGATACCGCGTATTAGATCAGAAATTACTTATGATAAAAATGATAAAATTAAAAACTTACGAATTTGTGCACATATTAAACATAAAAAACTCGAGTTACTTAATTATGTCTTTGCTAACGAAATAATGAATTTCGATAATTTACTTTCGAGGCTTGAAATTGAAGCCAGCAAACACAAAATTAAGGAGATTGAATGGCCAAAAGACGATGAATTTTTCCGTCATTTCACGATTGCTAGCTTAAAAATCGCGGGAATATAATTTTAAAATCATTACAAATAATTTTAACAGATCCAGTCGAAACTGTGACTGAAAATGACAAAAAAACTAAAACTAATGACCATTTATCACGACGACCCAATATCAGGAGGTCACTGTGGAATGAAAAAACTTTATGCGAAACTTAGAACAAAATTTTATTGGAAAAATATGACGCGTGATGTCGCAAAATATGTTAAAAATTGTCAAAAATGTCTTTTAAATAAAGTAAAACCGAAAGTTAAAGAAAAACTTGTACTAACCCCAACGCCGAACAAACCATTTGATATTGTTGTTATCGATACAATAGGACCTTTACCAGAATCGAAATATGGTAATAAGTTCGCAGTTACCATTATTTGCGATCTCTCAAAATATTTAGTTACTGTTCCTATACCAGATAAAAGTGCTAAAACTGTTGCATCAGCAATTTTTGAAAGTTTCATTTTAATATATGGCATTATGCACTCTATAAAATCTGATCTAGGGACTGAATATAAAAACGAATTTTTTGATGAATTAACCAAACTTTTAAAAATTAAACATGACTTTTCGACAGCACATCATCACGAAACTGTAGGTACAATAGAACGGAATCATAGAGTATTTAATGAGTACTTACGAGCATTTTTAAATGAATCACATTCCGACTGGGATACATACTTAAAATATTTTACTTTTTTGCATAACACAACCTCAAACACAGTTTTTGATAATAAATTTACTCCATTTGAACTGATTTTTGGTAAAAACGCTGTTTTACCAAACGAAGTACAAAAAGTTAAAATTGATCCAATTTACAACGTTGATAATTATGCAAAAGAAGTAAAATATCGTTTGCAAAAATCCCATGCACTCGCCAAAGAACTCGTAACAAAACATAAACTCCAATCGAAGCAGTCATTTGATAAAAATGCACGTCCTGTACTAATTGAAGAAAAAGATACGGTTTTAATACAAAAGGAACCTAGAGATAAACACAGCAATATATATCTGGGTCCTTACACGGTACAGAAAGTAGACGGTGTAAATGTTACGGTTTTCGATAAAACCAAAAATAAATTAAAAACGGTTCACAAAAACCGCATTCAAAAAGTCACATGACTTACTTTTAATGAATTTATTTTAAAATGCTAGTAAACTTTAAAATTTGACTCAAAACGAGTCACACAACACATAAATACAAACCATTATTATGGCTAGAAATTAAGATGTAGACTTAATCAAAATATGTACATTTGTATAAACATGCAAGACTCATGAATTGAATTGTAAATCTGATTGGAAACAAAAAAAAACCATTTTTTTTATGTATTTCTATCATTAAACCAAATTTTGGCTTAATAAACTGGCTTAATAAACTTTGCACATAAGTAAAAGGCAAAAAAAAAAAAAAAAAAAGAGAAAAAAACAAATTAAGCAAAAAATAAGTATGTATTAATTTTTATACAAATAGTTATGTAAATTCGTATTTACAAATTAACAAATTAATATATTGTATACAATAAGCAAATCAAAAAAAAAAACTTTTATTGAACTCAAACTTATGTATATTCTTTAATATAAAATTGATAATGTCAATTAACGCAATTAGCTAAGTAGATATAATAATGTTGTCAATTATTTAACATGCGTTTTGAACTCTTTATTACAGCCGAAGATTGGTATGGACGAACGAGTTAAAAGGGGTAGGAAACATACTTACAATATTATTAATAAATATCTCGTTCCTCCCTATCGATCTTACATTGCCCTTGAATCGAACGATTCTTGCAAGCCTGATCACCTTGCAAAAATCTTTTCTCAAGGAGGGTGATGTAATGGCACCGCTAACAATACGGCAGCACTATTCAGCGCCGTCGTAATGTTGGTAGCCCTGTTGGAACATACGTTCCACAGGTACCTAAAGCCGAGTGAAAAAACGAATGTTAAATCAATCGAACTCGTACTTTCAAACCTGGCGGACACGCGCAAATAAAAAAAAAACTCATTTTTGTAATTTAAAATTAAAATCAAAGTGTTTCATTTTTCTAAAACCGTAAGTAGTTGCGCGAGTGAAAAGAATTTAAAACATCCTGCTATTTTCGGCTACTAGGGCGTAGCCCCTTGGAAAGTTAATTGCTGCGAGGCGAAATCCAGCGAGCGTTAGCAAACGGCTTAGCCAACATATTGGCAAGATCACCTTCGGCGGCTACAATCAACCACCACCCGCAGGAATCGCAGCAGGAGCAGTTTCTTTTTCTAAAGCATCGCAACACTCAGCAGTTTCAACGTTGGTGAGTTATTTTAAACTTAACAAGTCATTCGGAAAGCACCGCCATCTGGTGGTAGTATGTCTTTAAAGTGAAATTGTTTAAGTTTACTTAATAACACGCAGCATGAAGTTACGTTTCCTATAAAACAGAATCACAGGGTAACATTTTTGCATATTCGGTTTTTCGAATGATTGTTAATAAAAACC